ACGCGAAATTCAAGTTGAAACCCATTCAAGCAAGAAGGTCAAAATTTTGCAATCATTTGAATATTTATAGATAAATCGTTATTACAGTGTAGTATATAATTCATAATGTTAATTTACAACTCAATCCAACATCAGTATTGCGGATGGGTAATATTTTGAGCATATTAGATTTTTCAAATTTATTTTGAGCAAAAATTCACACATTTAAACTTATTTGATGTATAATTTTTTTTAGTGCAAATGATTATATGTGTAATTTATTTTTATGCTATTTTGAGAGTAAACAAGCATAATTTATGGAAAATCTTGTTTTAGAAGAGAGACATAATTGAAGATTTTAATAATGAATACATTTTCATCCGTGAATGCAATTTTGCAGAAGCAAATCACATGTTTTTATCAAGTCTTTCAAAATACATGTACTGTGATTGTAGATCGTGACCAATCAATGATGTTGAGAGCGTGATTATATTATACACATGAGGGTGTGCAATCAATTCATTTAAGTGAAAATTTCAAAAATGCAACAAAGATATTTAATTGAATTATTTTTTTTAAAAGAAATATTTAAAGATGGTTTTTATGTGCTTTACATATACTTGGACTTGTTCATAATATCCTATTTAAGGAAGTCTCTGTATCTACATCATGCTCTATATAAATTTAAAACTTACGTTGCCTAAAACGCACTAAATATTTTTTCTCTATATGTTTTTTTTTGTTTGTTTATGAGGAAATATGATCTCCTCGTATGTTTTACCTTTCGTTGATGCTATTTTTTTTTAACTACTTATTTTGAAACATATCTAATCAAAATGGTTTATTTTTGTCCATATCGATTAAAAACAGTTTATTAGGAACGGGTAGTTATCACTCACTGTACTCTAACCTTTTCTCTCTACTCTAACCTTTTCTCTCATTGATATATGCAAGGTTATAGGTTCCTTATATGAATAGCAATCAGGGTAGGTGAGGGCTAATTAGTCGTAAATGAAAGATAACTAACCATACCCTTATTTATATATTTTAGTTATATACATTAGTGATAATTCTTCTTGGTTGATTTTCCAAAAGATACGGGTTGGGATTTTAGGCTTTAGGATTTCAGACTTGGGACGGCGTGACAAGCATTGTAACAGATGTTTTGAGAAAACGTACATTACCATGTACGGAGTCTGGTGTGGTGTGAATTGACTTTGTCTCTCGATGTTTTTTTTCCCAGCAGTAAGTTTATATATATACATATGAATGATTCTTTATGATTACAAAATATATATAGATATATGAAATTTCAAAGAGTTTAATTCTTGCTCTTTACTCATAATAGTTTGTAATGAAATATACTTTTTGTTTAGATCCTTAAAATTATTGATAATTCTAAATGTTTTTATAATATTTTGAATTCATGTCTTTTAACAATAATTATATTTTTGGGATTGTTCTTACAAGATTTGATGAAGGTTAAGTGGAAATAATTTTTTTAAATTTTTTTAAATTAAACTGGTTTTTAATAATGATAATTTATGTTTGATTGTATTGTTTATTCAAATTATAAAAAATTATTTGTCATATATATGTATATGAAAAACTTATTGGAGAAGAGTATCATAACCCTCTCAAAACTGAATTATTTTTTCCCAATCCGAGTTAATAATGACTGCTTGTATCAATTTTCATTACGTCAGATAGTATCCATAAATTGATTGATTATGTAATTTATTGATCATTTTGTAATAAGTAGTATTATTTGCATGCAATTTTAAAATTAATTTCACTCCTTTGAGTTGAGTATAAAAGATTTTTCCTGAAATTCATAACTAGGAATACCATTTTCATTTCTTTCTTTCCTTCAAACACGCTTTTATTTCAAATCTTTGTAATCTGGTTGGATTTGGTTATCAAAAAACAATTTTAATTTGTTTCCGGGTCAGAACTCCATTTATGGAAAAATATAATTTCAAGATAATTAAAGAAAACATGGATAGATAGAATATTGTGGTCAGCTTTATTAAAGGTATATTATCTTTCCTGAGAAAAATAATATATTTCTCTAGGAAAAATATATTGCTAATTATTATATGTGATTATATCGAGAATGTATAAGAGTTGCTTTATTCTAAAGTATGAGAGAATTCGTCATCTGAAGAAGACAAAAAATTATTGTAGAGTTTTTGAAAATGTATGATAATGGTTTATGTATTGCATGAGCATAAGTGGATATTTCCATGAAAATCAGTGATGGCACAATTGTAGGTAAAAGTAATGGAAGAAAAGGCCAAGAGACACTCAAATCAGATTGTAAATCTAATATAAACATCTCTTATGGTCAAATCGCGCATACATCTCGTTGAATTTCTCAGTGGCGGCGATCGGAGGATATTCAACACATCATGCTACTTCGACACAAAGGACCCATGTATACTAACTGATGAAGCGCAGTATGCTGCATTGTAATTGCGCTGCTGAGACCATTCCATTGATATGCCTGCAATAAACGTGTTCCATATTGCGTCCTGATATAAAGTCGCACTCAATCTAAAACATAACTTTTGAATTCTTTTTCCAATACTGCATCAACCTCCACCGACGAAATGATAAAGACGTGTACACTTGACCTGCAGTTCTTGCTCCAATGCTCTTGCATCAAGTTTCGCAGGTTCTCCAGTAGAACTTCTCAGAAAATCGACGGTGAAGTTTACTTTGTTTCACTTAATACGTGACATCTGGCACCAAGACTCTATCCTCCCGTGACAGGTATGGGTTGGTATGCATTTCACACATTCCTCTAGATGCATGAAATCTCTCGTCCCATGCAAAGCGCAGTATCCACTCTCTCGAACTCAATCATAAACGACATCATGTCGCCATGTATCGTCATGCATCTACGTCAAAGTGGAAAGTGTACTAAATATGCTCTCATGAACCAAGCGCTAAAAGCTAGATCAGTAGTAAGTTCGAGGCTAGAACCAGTTTGAGTGTTACAAAGTTTCATAATGTTGTGGTTTAAACGGTGTGGCGGCCATTGTTTAAGAAAATGTCTGTAATCTGCTTCCACAAGATTTTTGTTTGCATTTGAATATTACCTTACATAATCAAATTAAGAATGGGGCGACAGAGAAGCCTACGTCACAGTATATATTTGAATAAAATCCAGAGCACACCGCATTGCATTCAACCATAAGTTAGCACATGATTTTTTCGGTGCATTAATTGGTTAGAGGTGTTTGATTTCTGTGTGTGACCATCTGATGTGTCACTGAAGATAAGGAAGGCAATCAACGTTTTCTTACAAAAGTAAATGTTTGCAATTTTCAAATATATAAAAAAGAGAACCATATTCGGAAGAATTCTCTACGTACGAATAATTTCATCGAAAGGCGAACCAGTTTCGTGCTTAATCCATACCTCAATTTCTAGAACTACTCTCGAGAGTTTTTGAACAAAAGCAAACATACACAAACACATGTTTGTAGATCGTTCGATCTACGAACAAAATATACTATAGATGTCCTATATTTCTCATGATGATATTATGAACCTAACCGGGGCTAACCCTGGATGTTAGTTAGTTTTACCCCTCGTGAGTACAGTATTGGCTTCTCGGGATCTTGCCATCGATTTTCCATCCACTTTGACCCCTTTCACTGCTTATAAAATGTAGGAGATAAAACTGGACAGTCCAGGCGGCCGATAGAGAGAGGGGGGATTGAGAGGCTAAAATCTTCTTGTCCAAAAGGCTTTTAGATCAGCAGGAGAGACTTGCTATTTCCAGCTAGAAATCGCAGATGATTAGATCCTTCGTTGATCCTTTGTTCACCCCCCACCGACTGGTAAGTTAGGACAAACTCTATTATTGAATGTTGGAGCGAAGACAAGTTAATAAAGTGGAAGTTAGAGGCATCAGGACGAGAGCTATTAAAGCTCACTAAAGCGGATCAAGGTCAGCGAAAGCAGACATTAGGGCCTTCTCCTTACCATTAAGACAAACTCTTGCTTTCGTTGCGGCTCTACTTCCTCCGGAGAGTCGTTTCCTTCCGGGAGCATGTAAATCACAGCCATTGTGAGCCTCGAATTGTTTAGAAGGTGTGTGCACTGATTCGAGAGGGACGCACTCGAATGATTGAACATGTCTCGTAACATAATGATCGAGGTGAATGTACTGAAAGATAGGAAGGCTTGAATCTGGTACAGGCACCGTCCGACTGTGGACCCTACTTTGCACGTGAGCTTCGGGCGGTACGCGTCGATGTGCCGCCACGTACTGGGAGATGCCGTGTGGGTGGCAGAATCTGGGGCAAATTGAGGCCATGTTTGCTCATCGATATCAATGTCAGGAACCTCTGACACTAGTCTTTCCGAGGGGTGGTAGATCAAAATTTACTAGTCTCGGAGGGACATTCATGGGATGTGTTCAATCCATCCCTCACTTCCGCGCATTTATTGCCGAGTGCTGGACAGATAGAGGGTCTCTGCGACGGCAGACCGAGTCTCTTGAGTTTCCGCTGCCCACGCACTTCCTATCCTCCCACTTTCATCGACTTTTAACAAAGCTATCGTACTTTCTATGTTTCTCGCGGGCTGGTCATACTCAAATGCTCTGCACCTCACTCACAAACGAGATCCCAGTGTGGCTACAACTCTTCCTTCTTTCGTCGGTAAACTGCCATAATTATAGTTTATACAGCGTATCGCTTTCTCCAATCATCCGGAACTTGCGTGACTAAAAGTATCACGACCTCATAACCTTCCGTTCATTTTCTGTAGTGAGATTAACCGATGAGCAGACCGACAGTGGTCGTCATGTTAGGACAGAGCACCACACAACAAGGTATGTCGTCGGGAGCCTTCCACATCAATTTACCACATATATTGGCGACTCGGTGGAAGATTATGTACACATTATCATATTCAGAGCATGCTTTGGACAGTGTCTGCCATGGCACGAGACGAGATGTAGGCGAGCCAGCCATCCAGCGGGCCAGCCTCGTGTAGGACAAGTTAGATTACAAAATAAGCAATCAGATTTATTTAGCTGAACTGTCCGCATGTCAGGGCACTGCTGATGACGACATGAGGAGAGAAAGCTGACGTGAATTCAATAGAACGTAGGATACAACAAACACGACACGAGCTTCCGACTGTCCGGGTTCGTGATCGCGGTCGACGGTAGAGGAGGATGGCACTACAGAGAGTAAATCTCAGGATTACACCGAATAAAAGAAAGAGTACCGCTTCTGTATGGATCTTGTAATGACCAACACGTGTAGGAAACCTAATGAATGTGGGCAAGCTGACGCTTAACTTATTTCTGCCAACTCGGTCTTCGATGGTGTAGAGACCATTACCTGCTGCTGTATAGGGGCAGCCACAGTTGCACGGCTGCGAGGGGGAATTCTGCGCTAGTAAGGAGTAGAACAAATCTAATCCGAAGTCCGACGCCGGCCAATATGCAAATTCCAATGAGCAAGAATGCGGAAGGGAACTGGTCCAAAATCCAGGAAGAAGATGAACGAGAGAGATGAAATCGAAGCTTTTGAATTTCTAATCGAAAAATAAATTGGGACCTCCAGTTGGTAGCAATTATTTTACAAACGAAGCACCGCACTGCAAATCGCTGCAGCGTTTATGAATTACATACATCGAGATAAAAACCAAGGCTGCCGTATCAATCATCAATCGCGTCGTCGTTCTTCTTCTCGTCGTAAGGAAGGAAGGAGGGGAGGAAGAGCATCTCATTGCCTGAGCTCAATCGCGGTCGCGGTGATCGGCATCCGGACGATCGATCGAGGATGATCGTTTTTCTCACACCTGGTCAAAGACTGACACAGAGAAAGACTCACGACCCGGCTCACACTAGTCGCTTGCGGTAGTAGTTACACCCTGCTGCTAATTGGCTGTTGCTGCAGTCGCAGTGTCCGGATGATGATGATTTTGGGGCATCACAATTCTCCTCAGCTTCCACTCCACGAGCCAGAGCTTAACATCCACGTCCCTCCTCCCGCCCACCTTCCATTGTCTTTACAATCGGTCCGTCCTATCACTCATCGCTCATCGCTCAGAGTGCAAGCAGGTTCACGAGCACCGCCGCGCCGGCGGCCAATGCTAGACAAACAGTCGCTCCGTTCGCCGAGCTCCCGGGACCTGAAGCACACAATCCAGCACCAAACAAACAGTCAGTTGGCGAATCGAAATGAGCCAGCAACAAAAATTCCCGTCTCCGCCCGCCATCTTGCGTAAAACATGGTCCCTGCTCGAAGGACGACAGAATCTCGTCCCGCTCGTCAACCTTCACCATGGGCCAACCCTCGCTCCGCCTCAGTCGGTGGGTCCATGCCGGGTCAACGACAACGACGAAGCCGCACTGCCACAACTGCCTCCCTCCTCTCCTGCTTTGCTATTCCCTGCTGCAATATTCTAAACCTCGACCAGAGCCCCTCGACGCTGGAGCCTCCCTCCGTGTCCGACTTCGAGAAAGCGATGACGAGCTTCACTTCACTTCACCACTCCCCCTCAAGCCATGGCCGTAACACCAGTTTGACCTTCTGCCTGCCCTGCCCTGCCCTGCCCACGACCTATCACCCGACTAACGCTTCCGTCGGAAGCATAGCACTAAGCGAGCACCTTGCTGGACCAATCAATCGATCAATCAATCAATCGAGAAGCACCGAGGCCGACCTCCATCTATCTAACTAACCAACCTGTGCATAGGTGGTGAAAGCGGTGCCCTGACACACGAAGCAATGCCAACCGTAGACCGCTTCCTTCCACCCACGAGCTCGAGGCCTATGTCAGTTTCTTCCGCCTTACTCGCAACCTTCTTCGCGTAGGAAGCCTTGAGCCTTAAGATCGAGCTACAACTCGAACCGAACAACGAAATCGACAAAACATCGACAAAACATCGACAAAAAGACGAAGAAGAGCATGCGAGGGAGTGGGGACCGTACCAGCGTTGACAGTGGCTGAAGAAGAGCCCGGCAATTGCAGAGTTTGCTCGACCAAGTTGCGGGCCTTGGCCTTGACGACCTTGGGGGCCGGGGGCGACACCGTGGTGTCGGAGGGCAGGGTGGCTTTGAGCTCGGCCGGAATCATGACCCTGTCGATGCCCTGCACGGAGAGGCGGCCGTCGGCGAAAATGTCGTGGTCGAAGACGCCCGCGGCGTCGTCGCCCTCGCCGAACACCACCTGCCCGTCGACCTCGTGCGCCGCCAGCTTGTGGGGAACGCGGAGCGTGCTGAAGTGCGTCTTGCCCATGCGCCGCAGCGTGCTGTACAAGCTCTCCTCCGTCTGGTACTCGGTGATGATGTGGTAGTGCAGAATGTCCTCAAGCGCCGTCTGCGAGCTCAGGTGCTCCTCCGTCAGCGCGCCCGACCACGCTTTGTCGTCGGGGGCGAGAATTGTGAGCTTGTAGCCCATGTTGACGAGCTTGGAGATCTCGGAGCCCAACGAGGTGAGATCGACCAGCAGCCCTGCGAATTCGCTGTAGCCTCCGAAGCGCAGCATTGCTGAGATGAAGGTAGTCACCTCGTCGTCGCCGAATCCCAGCCACGGCGCCGTCGAGGGGCCCATGGCAGGGCCTGGCGCCGGGGCGATCGAAGGCGCCAGCGCCAATGCTGGGGGCAGCGAGGGCGACGCGGCGGCCACCACCAGCTTCGCTTCCACTGCGCTGAACTGCTTCTCGAGGAGCTGCGCTCGTCGCGTGTCCAATCCCGGCGCTCCTGTGGGCAGAGGGGTGGCCATTTTGCGCGTGGTGTGCGCGACGTACTCCTGCATGACGGAATTCGGAATGAGCATCTCCTCCACGCCATGGACCACGCCGTCCGGTCGAATTATGGCGTCCGGGGCGGCCACTGCGACATCGCCCGCCATCAGGATGGGCCCTTGCGTGCTGAGCCAGACGGCTTCGGAGGCCAGCGTGGTGAATGAAGCGGTGGGCCATTCCGAGGCCGTGACCCGCTCCGACAGGACGTGGTACTGGACGACTCGCTTCAGGGCGATGGCATTGGACGGCTTGAGCAGGAAGGATTTGATCTTGGGTTGCAGCTGGTGGTTCTGCGGCGCGAATATGGTCAATTTCCTGCCCGATCCCACGAGCTCCTCGAGCGGATGCAGCATGGCTGCCTGCTCGACGAGCTCCATCCATTCCGAGTACTGCGATTCCAACAGCGCCTGCAGGACGGATCCCGAGCCCGCATTGCCGACGACATCGGCGTTCGCTGAGGCTCCAGCAGCGGCGGCAAACGCTGGAGATGCGCCCGGAGGTGCTGCGCCGAGGCAGAGGCAGAGACAGAGGACCAAGGCCAGACCCGAGAGGGCGGCCATGACGACTAGGAAACCAAACTGCTAATGCTGATGGCTGCTGTGGCGTCTCGTCTGTGCGCCCGTGTCCGACGAGTCTCGATTTTCTGATCCTTCTGCTTCTGCTGCTGCTGCTGCTGCTGCCGCTCCCTGCCCCTGAAACTCAATGCACGCCAACTCCTCGCCTAGTCCGCTTCTTCGATGAACACCTGCGCTCAGAAAAACAGATCCCAGCGCACCTTGCGCTTTGCTCATGTCTGGGGTCACTGCTCCACTTACCGCCACTACTGCTATTCCTGTCTCTTCCGTCCTCCCCTCGCCCCCAGCTCTCTTTTCCCCTTGGCTGCGACTCGTTCCCTTCCCTTCCCTTCCTCTCGTCCCCTCCCTCGCTAGGTTGCTTGCGTGCGTGGGCTGTGAGCTGTCTTCCTCCAGCTCTCACCCCATGGGGCCTATTGACTTGTCTGCTGCTGCTGCTGCTGGCTGCTGGCTGGGAGTGCGAGTAAGAGTAAGGGCGAGTGTGAGGATCATCGCTGTGGTTGCTGCGGATCTGCATCCGGAAAAAGAAAGGGGATGCCGCATGGCATGAGGCCAATCAATCACTCAACGCGCCCACGCACCATACAGTCATTTCTCTCTTTGTCTGAACTCACTCAGTGCGCAAAAGAGAGGCCTAGGAACAAAGAAAGCAAGCAGCGGATCTCATTCATTCATTGGCCGGGGCCCCCCTCACCACCTCCCAGCTCCTTTCCCCCCTCTCTCTCTCTCTCTCTCCCTCCACTTCAGCAAAGAGGAAGAAAGTTCTCGACGGCCCACCTCTCCCCCTCTCTCCAAACATGCCCCACGGACATCACACGGATTTACCTTCAACTTCAGCGCTAACGCCAAGTTTCGTACTGCTGTACTTTGGGCGTGCTAAAATCATACAAATGGTCACAGGGTACTTGGCTGCTTCTGAGGCCGTTTTTTCACTCGAACTCCTCTTCCATTTCCCACAACCTTCTTGGGTCTTGACATCATCTCTTTTATCTGGTCCCCTGCTAGAGTGGACAGCGCAGGGTTCCTGTATTCTGAAATCAAGATTGTTCATTGATGATGGTCGCATCAATTGAATATATTTGAGGTTAAGCCTCTTGATGCTTCTCTCTATTGTACTTCCCGAGAAGGATAGAGCTGTTCCCCAGATGGTGATGATGGTGCTGATGATCATACATAACAATTGGATTGACTTTTCCCTTTCTTTGTTAGGTGAAGGCATTGTTGAGGTCAAGGTTCCTTTATGATGAGCAGGCATCTACCCAAGTATCTAATAAGTATTTCTCATTATTTTATCTCATCTCCGGATTTCGATGCTGGTTACTGTAGGATTCAGGCCGTGATCCCCTCCCGCTTTCCCCAAAATGAGTTGGATGGAGCTGCTGCGGATTCAGTCCTACATGCCATTTTAAACGTAGTTTTACCGGTGCTCCAGGTTGAGCCACAAATGATATTAGTGCAAATTCATGAAACAAGGGGAAGCAAGAAGCCCCCCGCGCGCAAGAAACGCATTCCCTTTTGGTGCAACATCATGATATTCTGCAAAGATTTATTTGGAAGAAGGAAAAGATTGTGATTTTGTACTTTGAGAATCTTGATTGCGTGCATGGTCGAAGGCTCTTCGAGTAGTACATGGGATCCATAGCTGGTAAAATGAGGGGGCAAGAAGTATAGCAAAAGGGAGGCGAATCAGGGATGCAACGAAACGAGTAAAATGGGGCTAGCCCCATGCTACCCGTTCGGTTTAACCATAGCCAGGTAGAATCACGGTCTGTCTTTCGCTGTCACTCTCGTTCGTAGCAAGTACATGTCGAAAAGCTTTTTCAAACCTCAAGCCAGATCTGACCTTCACTAATCACAGCATGTGACAATTCTGCTTAATGAAAGGAGACAATTGGAGCTCGAACTCATCCTAGGCTGCAACTGAAACTGCATAAAGAGGTAAAACCCCGTCAAAATGACAACCAATTAATACCTTCTGTGTCACCCACATCACAGCCAACCAAATTTCCAGAAAGATGCTTTCTGAAAAACCAAGGAGGTCCGGAGCAGACTTTTCTACTGGTCACAATCTCAGATTCACATGACCTGCTGCTGGAGGGGAGGTTAGGGAATGGGAGGGGAGGGGAGTCAATACAACATGCATGTATTCGTAGACGCAGCTCATACAAATCTTGCTGAGCGAGAATGTACGACAAGAGATTTCTCTCTGTTTCATCGATCTCCGCCTGAAGGCGACGCGGTCGACGGCATGGAGGAGAATCCGGAGCCGAAGCTGGAGCTGGCATTGAGTGAGTGAGTGAGAGAGAGGGGCAGCTGAGCTGAATCGAGAGCATGGAAGCAGAGCATCTGCCCACACACTAAAGCGGGAACGCGACGGCCGCGCGAGAGCCTGACCCAAATCGCGACTCGCGACCGGCGCGTCACACGGCGTCGCGGGGAGACCGGGCGCAGGACGAGGAGGACGCGCCAACTGGACGGAGTAACGGGGGAGTAGGTGCGTCGCCGGAACATGTACCAGCAGTAAGTGCACCGAGGGGAGCAGAACTCGGCTGGCAACGGAGGCCGGTAACTGATTGCCCTTCCCGGGCTCCGGTGTGGGACCGGTCCGTCGCAGCTCTTCGAGCGTGAGCCATCCTGTGACCTCATGTGGGACCGGCGTGCAGTTCAGCGCTGGCGGTCACATACTTTGTCGTAAATTTGCCTTCTTTTGCGCCACCTGCAGGGAAGCCATTGACCTCCTTTGGGGCTGGCGCATGTGTGTGTCCAGAGCTCCAGACGCCGTCAGGCGCTTTGTCGTCTCCGTTCTCGCTTCCCTCTCTCCTCTTCAAAGCTCTGTCTCCTCTCTCTGTCCCGTCCGTCCCGAACGGGAGCTGGCCGCATTCTTCCCCGCTGAAATTGAAAGCTGTGGACAGTTGGACTTCTTCTTCCCGAAGCTGGAACCCATCGGCCAAGCAAAAGGCAGCAAGCCTTCAGAGCGTAGATATTTGCTCCGTTTGATATTCCTCAAAGGCCGATTCGCACTCGAGACTTTCGAGCCCAATCGAGATGTGAAGTCCACCCTGGACATGGCAATGAGTGCAGGCAGAGTTGCAAAAACATGACATATGTGTTGCGAAAAGGTGGTCTGGGCTTTTTATTACTTCTGTTATAAACTATACTCTTGTTATTTCGATGAATTGTAGATATATAGCATAAAGGTGGCTACAGCACTAGCTATAATAATGGAATTATGTTCATTCTAGGAGATTTTATTGGCTTCCAGTTTGAAAAGGCGAAATGGACTTGATTAATGTATACATTACTTGTATGCCCGAGAAGGTCATTTTGACATAAATTATGACACGGACATGGTTTCGGCTGAAAAGAGTACATGCTGTATGTGGAGCACGGATATTACAAATGAAAGAAAAAAAATTTGTAATCTGGAGCTCTTGGAAAAATGTACTTTCACGAGGATGAAAACCTCATAACCGATATGGTGTGACAGGGATCCTTTGGCTTAAAGCATTGGGTTGTGCAGTTTATAGACCGAAAGGGCCGTATCATGTTGTTGGGCTGTAGAAGCGTCAAAACTAGCTCTAGAACATCAGATATTCTGCAACATTACGCGACCACTCGAATATACCGAAGAATGAGAAATGAACTTGTGAAGGCGGTGACAGCAATGTGCTTGAGACACATGTGTTGTGCACAAAGTCGAGCGACCTTGAGCGCTTGGAAAATGAACAAGAGGGAGCACTACAAGATGGTGCACATGACAATTAACCTCGAACGATAGGCCCCAACTGCAGACTCAGCACCAGCCCTGCAGGTTGCTCCTCGGGGTCCGAACAAAATCACAATTGAGTTACCGAATGATTACCACAAGCTCTCGTATTCTCCTGATGTCCTGGATCATAGAATAAGGTTTATAGCTGGGGGAGGGCAGAACTCGGCCACGGCCACGAAGTCGACTTTGACAACCGGGTGGACATATGCCCGACTAGGAAGAAAGCCTCGATGGCTTGCAGGAGAACGTTGCCCAAGTGTCAGGCACGAGAGATCCCGTCGTGAGAAGATGAGCCCGTTTGTCTGTAGGGAACGGGGAGTGCCGTGCAACCAAGGTGGTCGTCTCCGCACTCAGCTGTCAGAAGGAGGCATGAGAGCTGGCGCCCTGCGAGCAGCAGACTGCCGACAGAAGGTCAGCTCCTCGCACCCAATGGCTGCCCGGCGCCATGGATTGGATTAGATTGAGACCCGGGACGGAACCACACTCGGCTGCTCCTGTCCCACTCCGGCCTCTCTCCACGTTCCTTCCGATGTTGGCCACGTTCCCTACTCCCTACAGTCTCACAGCACGCTCTAAGCAATTCTTGCCTTTGCGGTCACGGGCTGCTGCGGACTCATACTCCCGAGACGTATCCATCTCGCAGTACAAGAGGCGGCCAACTTTCATTTCGAGTTCCGCCCTTGCTGTGCATTCCAGCTTGGGATATTTATCGGCTGAGCCTGTCGTGGTCTTTAAGTTAGTGGCTATGGATCAGACTCGGACGTATTACGGGGAATGGCCGCACTTACAAGACTACGGATGTATAAAGGCCCGGAGTTATTGTCTCCATGTGAGCTCGTGCATCGCAGCCGCAGTCATGAAGGTCATCATCATTCGTGGAGCTTCAGGACTCGCGGAAGTACTTCGAACAGACCATGTTCACGCTGAACTGGGAACCGGGAACTGTAGCCCTCGTCGTCTGCGTCTTCGAGGGCGAGAAAACCTCGGGCCCGCCTGGTCTTTGAGCACGGGCCAGCCTGAGTCAAGAGCTCTCATCAACACCGGTGCGAGTGTTAGTCTTCGTGCAGGAAAACACAACGAATACTGTTTATGTTCGTACGACCTCAGGAACAAACCTTATGAGCCTCGTCTACTGTTCAGATCTCATCGCCCTTCCTACGGCATGATTGTCTGGCATGCACCCGCCATGTACTTCTCCTGCGAGCTTTCTTTCGTGGACTGGGTTCACGGCTCGCTTTGAGTACCTGGGATTACGACCATCGCAACATTACACCCCCTTCCATGCAGTCCACAAATGAGCATATTAATACATGTACCCGTATATATTCCATGCATTTTATTGCCTCATGTACCGGAGTCGCAAGCAACCGAAGAGTGATAATGTTGTATGCTTGTACACATGAGGGGAACCAATATACAAAACAGCTAGAACGGTCCTTCGTATAAGAACACCATAGAGTAGCAGGCCTAGATCACTCGAGTATTCTGTATCATGGGAAGTACCGAACGTTACTCCGAGCGAACGAACGTCGAAGATTCCTTACAAAGCTTCAGATTCTGTACCACGCAAAGGTTCGGTTTGCAGGCTCACTGCAGTAACCGTGGTACAGGGACTGTACGACGTCCGGAAGCATGGTGACGGCCCTCTGCGAGAGTCAAGGCCTGACCGAGTCCTCACGGAAACGGTTCGAGGAAAGCGCGGACGACCGCACTCGGGTCGCGCTACTGCGACCCAGAGGTACGTACTTCGTAAATTTCAGGAACTCCGTACCTGCAACCGCAGTTTTGTATCGTCCCGCCAAAGCCGGGGCGAGTCTGCCAGCGAAAGCAGGAGTCCGTACAGTACTGTTCGCTCCGTTACGCGCGAGATTTGAGCTCCAGTTTGGCGGTTCCCCCGTGGCCGTAGCCGCCAGCGCCGTCTACTGTCGGTCGCTTCTGCGGCTGCGACTCCGTGCCGGATCTTCGTAACTCGGTCCGAAGTACTGTACTTATCCGGATACTGAAGATGCGGCAAAAAGCCGCGAGAAGGGGCCTGGATTTCATTCGTGTACACGACTCGACGGGTCGTGCCATCCCTTTTGTGATGCTGTTCCTTTTTCTACTTTGCTGAGAAAGAAGTAGCTCTGCCGTCGTCGTCGTGGATGAACTTACTCCAAAACAGTTTTCACTGCAAAATTCATAAAGCTTCAGCTGTTGGCTGCTGATAGAAATAAGTTTCACACTCCCTGCATGAACTTGTCGTTCTCAGACTCTCTCGAGTCTCAGATATACAGGCTCGACTTGCAGATGCAGCAAAGACTCCTCTAACTGGACTCCATACGGACCCGATCGTATCGAGTCACCTTGTTTGGACTTTTCGCCAATTTGGGTGCAAAGGCCTCGACACTTTGGACATGGATGAGCTGGAAGAGTCTAGCAGAAGTATCGCTGAAGTACTGTAGAAGTTGACATTATTAAATGAGGGCTTATCAACGGCATCATTTGGATCTTCCGACGAGGGGTAATTTCGTATGAGTACCACACTGAGGGCACCCCAAATCCACCATGTTTGTTCCCTTGTTTATAATGGAGACTTTCGTACAAGTTGGCTGGAAGGAGATCGAACCCAGTTGAGGGCAAACCGTGTGCAAGCATGCCCAGAGGTGACGATGGCCTTGAGTGGCTAGAGTGCGATCGAATCCGGAAGGCTTTGAATAAGTGATGGAGGATCTCGAAATTCTTGTATGGTGAGAAACCCTTGTTCTTGAGATTTCTTCTTGCTTCCTGATGGAAGAGCTTAGATCCGATCCGGTTGGTGCCAAAGGTCAAAACTTGCATCTTTATACGATGACGTCATCTCTGAGCTGAATGCGTCGTAGTTGTAGCGGTTCGAAGTTTGACGTTGTTGCTCTAACATGAAAAGCAGAACGACTCGTGAGTGTGGCTTCTTTCCAATCAGATCGCCCGTTTCGTCGAGCATAAAACTTTTTCTTTAGAACGTTGTTGAGTTGTGTACCTTGTTGGCGGAGGAGGGCCCTAAAACATTGCAAGCAGTTAGCCATGATAAACACATGTCACCCACCAGATGGTTTTGCCTGCTTTCTGTGCCGCATCTTTTAGGAGGCGACGCATGCGTGTTATTTCCAAAATACTCCTTATATTTGTTCATCGGTGGACCACTTGACGCTCGTACTGCCCCTGTTGGAAAAAGCAGGGCTTCCAGATTTAACCTCCTCAATCATACGAGCATACATTCTTGCTTCTGAAGTTTACTGAGGTGTACCCCTTCATCTAAAAAACGAGAGCTTGTATCGGCCGTTCCAACTCCAGTCGTCATAGTAGAAGAAACGAGGAGCAACGTACATTAGCTTTTCATTAGTTGCAATTCAACCACTGCCTCAATCATCAGTGAAAATGCATTGAAATGAAACAGTGGTCAAATGGATCTCAGGTTAGAAACGGCATGCTAACTTCACGCGCAACAATTTTAATTTCTCACAGAGCAGTTTCGAAATATGATTACGTCCTTGCTAAGAGTCATTCATTTGTATGTTTAGTTTTGAGAGGTCTTCTACGCCATTACTACGTTTCGCGATTTTAACTTAATTCTGAATTTTCTTGCAAGTCTCGACCAGAAGTGTGAGAACGATACCTTGCAGCGGACAAAACATGGAATAGATTTATATTTGATAGAAGTGACCTTTAGCATGGCTTTCGAGATCTTTACATCTGCGCAGGTCAACTCACACCCAGCCAATCTCAACGAGTGATCTCTAACCTACCGGATGCAAGTGTTGAAAATGTTGATCACCTGGAAAGAAGTATTTTCGACATCGCCCAACCTTTTCATTTCTCCTCGTTTACTGTATACCATCGCCCACATTATATAACTTCACAAGGCTTCAATGAAGGAAAAAGTCGGTTCGGAAGTAAAAGCAATGGCATTTTATAAGAAAACAGCAGAGGCTACAATAGCGTAGGGATGGCTTTCGGTTGTCCCCACATGAATAATGAAGCAGCAGGCACCAGGATCTACCGGGGAGGAAAAAAGGCAGCAGAGAAGTGTTGCGAAGCTTCAGGCTGGAACAAATGCTTCTTGTGACCCCATAGCCCGCTTTGGACAGAGCTCACCAAGCGAAAAGTCAGTAAAGGGAAGACGTCTTTCTACTTGAAGAAAACACGAGAATCGTTTCGAGTCCTCCAACCAATATTCGAGGGGTGTATGAGGGCGAGGAGCGAGTCCGGAATTCGAGCTTGTAGGCACGGTGTAGGTAAATTATTGAGATCCATGGGCCAACCTTCTCGAGTGACGTCGAGCTTGTGGACTTGGTTCCACACTCGTGAAGTTTATGGTATGCATGCATGGTGCAGAATCTCGCCCTCTACCTTTACGCTGTGGTTCCCTTCCGCCATATATCAACGAGGTGACAACGAGGTGCATGCCTTGGAACATCGTTCCTTAGCGTTCCAAAATGTTTACCATCGCGCCACTTTCAGCACTTACATCCAGGTGCTTGTTTTTTCTGCATAATCTTTACTTTATGCTCCTCAGAGCCAAGGAACGAAATTCTACATATGGATGGGACCATCTATACACCATTTCTACAGTTCCCACTCAACGTTCGTCACTCCTTTTGCATGGACACCTTACACTCGATTGGGTAAGCAGACCTTTCCTGATGTGAATCCTGAAACCGTAGAAGATTTCGTCCGTCATGATGGCTTTCCGATCAAGCAATGAGGACAAACATTCGCCTTGAAAAAGCTAAACTCTAGTGTTGAAAACCCCACTGGAAGCTGGGCCACTTATTTTCCAACTTAGCCTATAATGTGAGGGCTTTTCAAAGTTGACCCCACGGTGACGATAAGGCTGATCACCTGTATCCGTTGATCCAGTCATTGTTTGCCTCAACTTACAGCTCGGCTCGATATGGAATCCGAAACCTGTGAATTATTTCCTTCACTTTTTTGTCTGTGATTCCGACAATTTGTTGAGCATAACTGATTGTACGTTAGCTCCGTTGATTGTTCACTAGTTCGACTTCTATTTAAAGTCGTCTCGTGTCCCAGTCTGATCTTCTTGCGATGGTGATCGAAAAATCACACCTGGAGCTGAGTTTGAGTCTAACTTCTGTCCTCGATGATAATATCGTCGCACATTCTTACCGCACGTTGGTGCAAATTCAGTGTCGCAGTGAGCAGATCAATCAACATTTCAAAGCTAACTTTACAGATCGGAACGAACAGTCTCCAGATCTTACTGCAACCGCGTGTATTGAAGAGTATCGCTTAGTGCTGGGTGTTGAAAAAGGGCTTTAGAAAAGACTCTGGTTATCTTGTGCTCTGAGGTCATCTCAGTAAAGTGCAGTAGATCACCTTCTGGCGAAAGCTTCCTTTTGGGATGCTTAGAGTAGATTAGGCATCATAAAATTCAAATAGTAGTCGATGGCATCTTCACACCGCATGAGAACAAAGAGTAAAAAGTCATTCCAGGAATCCTCTGTTACTCAGTAATAAAAACAATCATCTTCATTTGAAAACTTCACATGCCACAGGAACCACTCTGCATATTTTGCAGACTGTTACTGCGAAAAAAATCTAATCCTCTTTTTTCGTCCTTAATGTTATTTTCTCATTTTCGTGATATAGAAGGTTACAGTATCAACTTTTAAGCCATGTCATTCTCCGCGTGCTGCTTTGCCTTTTTCTCACTTCCTAACATTCTCTGTTGGTTTTTTACAGGGCAACCAGAGATAAGTATGATTATTGGTTACCGAGGAACATTCCGATATTGCACCATTACTCCATGTAAAATCAAGAAACAAAACAGGACTTATCTGGCTGGAAGACTTTAAAATGTCGATACAAGGCGACAGGTAGCTATGAGCAGAACCAGTGTTCAATGTCGCGTTGGCAGACGTGAACAAAAAATTCGCTGACGCCACTTACGAGATATAGCGACAAGCCTCTTACTCTCGCTTTTATTCGGGCGATATACAGCTTGATTCGTCTCCATATACACCACCGTGTTCTAATCATTTTGTCACCAATGATTTGCGAGCTAGCAGCCTGCAATTCTTGGTCTTCTCTTGCCTACCACAATAGATGAACCTTTTCAGCCTCATATTACAAGCATAAGTTCACTACATTCTATACATATAATTATATATAACTAACACGCTCGGCCGTCACTGGGCCCAGAACAAAATGCCTTCTTCCTCCAGGAAATTATACTCAATCAAATCAGCGTGCATCAAAATGTGGTATACCTGATCACGGTTAAAATGTGCTATATCTATATCAGCAAAAAACTACAAGTAGTACAGGGCAGTATCAAATATGTCACCTCCCACGTTCCAGTTCTCGACAAAAGCAACAAGCATAGGTTCGTGGTCTTCGACGCTACGCTAGGCTTCCATACGTCAGCTGTGTATGAAGGCCATTTACAGGCAGAAGTAGGAAGTGTAAGAGAATGATATCTTTCGTGCAGGACTTGCTCAGGAACTGCAATAAGTCTAAAACTAATGGAAGTGTCTGACTGAACCTGCGACATCTACAAGACATGTTGCTCCTGACGAGCAGCATGCAGAATACCCGACAGCGCAGTCTCCTGTCATGTTTGAATAGGGTGCTCGAGTTACCGTAGATCTAAGTTTACTTAACTAATTTAAACAATACTTTTACAGTAAGCTATTATGAACAGGAAAAAGCAGAACATCTGCTAGAAAAGTGTGGCAGATTCATTAATTCAAAATCTAGTCTACGAAGTCGTCACGGTATGCATATGACCAGTCACCACACAGCAACACACAAGCCTGACACTCGACAGAGCCTAGAGTGAACACAGTTTTGAGCTAGTCTCAAGTTGCAATCATCTACGACACTGTCTCGAACGTCTGTCTGACTCCATTCGGAAGAGAGACTGCTCTCATGTACACGCGAGCTCTGCATCATGACTGCCGGCGATTCGAGCTGCCGATGAGCACCACCGGCACCACATGCTTGAGAACGCTCTGGCCTCAAACGGGCTCATGCTCCTCCGATTCTCTGGTGCCGAACATTCGAGCATGAACTTGCTTCTTGCGACCTCCGCGCAAAATGCAAAGGCAGACGTCGGTCGAAGCAATTGCAACTGCACGTGGTTCCCCATCAACTACGAACAGCAGCAGCATGTCTTGACCTGGTTGAGGTCAAGGTTTGTGGGGTACAACTAGCGCCAATAGCCTTTTCATAGTTCAAGTCAGTTGTAGGGAGGGGGGCCATCCTCCATTTTTTTTTACTCTGAGATCGTCGTATACACACATACAAAAGTAAGAGGCATCCAAGCACATGAGAGACAGTGCTGAATCTACCCTGCGGAGGTCAAAGAGCGTGTGGTTTGCACAACCTGCTCGCTTGCTTTTCAGGATGTTATTATTTTTTACCAAACTTCATGATAGAGACTGCGAAGATTGCATTTTACGCAGGGGGTGTCAAGTCCTAGTGGACTTGCAATTTCTCCGAAGTCTCTCTGTTGTACAAAGCCCATGGGAACTTCTATTTACATCCCCAAACTCCATGGGGGAATACTACTGAATCATGCATGTGGTCTTGACGAAAAAGCAAGCAAGTAAGTAAATTGTGATACACATGGAGGAAAAGATTCGATGAAAAAGTCACAATCAAAAGACCAATCTGGGCAGAAAAGATTGTCCCACTCGAAACATAAGAAGAAACGAAGAGAGTTCATTCTTTACTTGGTGAGCCACTATCTCACCAACTGCTAAGATCTTCTTGTAACAACCATGGGATAAATGATTATCGACTACATTGAACAAACATCTCCTATCAAAACAATGTTTCTCTCGGTGCAAGAGTTCACCCCTTCTTGTTGTAAAGCTACACTAACTTAACTACTAAAACACTAAACACACTAAGGACTGTTATTGATGTCACTGTTATATATATAGTCCATGTCATGTAGCGGTATCTTTAATTAGATAGATGTGCGTATGACTACGAGATTAGGGGTGAAGATAGAGAGTTCAAATAAGGTCTCGGCGGAGGAAATTTTATGAAGTTGATCATTAGAGTGCGTGGCTATGATAGAAAATGTTTAGTGCGCCAATCCTGTGTTTCAAAATCACATATTGAATTTGGCCTAATAGTATCAATTTCGGTAGCATGTTTTGTATGGGAGTTTCTTTCCAAATAAACTCCTCAATAAAAATTACTACAAAAATTCAACTTCAATTTTTTTAGTGAAAAGCCTTAATTTTTAGAGTGTTATAGATGTATTTGTGAGTTGTGATTGATGATGGCTTTGATCTTATTTCTATAGATTGTGCATCCGATTGACGGGATGAATTTCATGATGAAGAAAAAGAAGTACATCTAATTCAAGCTTTGGTAGGATAGGTTTTAGATTCTTTTTATTCTTAAAATGAATTTTAAAGGAAAATATTGATGGATAAGATGTAAGATTTTCCAAAATATCTATTTCTCATATATATCTTATCTTGAAATTAATTCAAATAATTTAACTAAATTAATATGCTTCAAATTCAAGATTAATTTAAGAATTGTGGACTAAGACAAGCGCTATATGTCATATAATTATCATGTACATTTAGTATGATATAAAATTCATAAACAATAATGAAGTGTGTTTCAAATGTTATTTGAATAATAAAATAATAAATAAAATTGTTGAAAGAACCACATGAATCCAATAATTATCACAAATAAAAGAACACATAAAAAAATATGTATGTAGTCTGTCATTCTTCGACTTTGTCCATGGAACTATCAAACTCTTTACTTAAGGAACCTGCAAAGTGTTAAAGACCAGCTGTATTTCAATGCCCTTGTATGTCCATGGTAACAAAAACCCTTGATCTAATACTAATTATTATAAATCTAATCTTAACTCTAACTTGATTTAGATTAACTTGAATTAGTTTATGTTGAATTTAATTCAAGACTTGAGTTTCCACTAACATTCTTCCCTTTAATTTATGTTGCGATTGCAGTATCCTTCATAATTTACATAATTACCCTGTGGAATATTCAAAAATAAAAGCTTTCTTGAGTACAATAAGCTTCATAATTTATATAGTATTTTGCGAGATATTTTAGAAGAAAATATAACATACGTAACACTTTACACTATAGCTAACTAGAATTAAGCTGTAACCAAAACAAGATAGAGGAAAAATATATGGAGGTAAAAAAGTTGTTAATAAATCCTACTTATGCTCCTCACGCAAAACCTGCATATTAGAACAATGTATCCTAAAACTTTCTAAAGTATTAACTTTGTTCAGCACATTAGTTGTATTGAATTTAGCATCAATCTAGACTAGTTTGATTCTTTGATACTTTGATCAAGTGATACCTGATATCAATATGTTTCATTCTGCTCTCTATCATTTGATTTGTAGCAAGATGTAACATGATATCAATATGTTTCATTCTGCTCTCTATCATTTGATTTGTAGCAAGATGTAACATGATATCAATATGTTTCATTTTGCTCTCTATCATTTGATTTGTAGCAAAATGTAACATGATATCAATATGTTTCATTTTGCTCTCCATCATTTGATTTGTAGCAAGATCTAATGACTATCACTAAGGAGACTGAAAATTGTCAATAACATGTTTATTAGGTTAACACCAAATTAAGCTATACTTGGTGTTTATTACTTCGTTATCGTTATGTAGTTGAATCTACAAGAAGTATGCTACTTTAGATAAAAAATATTTCATTCATGCTATAACACTTTAAAATCTCGTAACTTACCGCCGATGGATTTGATTCTGTTGTTGGAAAGTCAAATCTATCTTAGAAATGCCAACACTTCCTCAGCTTTCACTCCATTTCACTCTAAGTGAGGTAACACCTTGTTGTCACCAAGGTGTCTTTCATGCAAATCACCTTCCACCTAGATTAATCAAAGTTCAAACACCAAGTACTTCTCATTATATTCTAGCCTACCTCTTACAAATGCACCATAAGGAAAGTCTAAGATAATGAAAAAATCAGTGGAAGCTGGACTTTTCTGAATGAACTACATCAACTGAACATGAGGAACGATCAAAAGAACTACTTTTCATGTGCACATGAGGAAAGATCTAAAAGAGTACTTCTTGGTTTGAAGTGGAAAATTCTACGATGCAACTCTCTTCTAAACTCTAAAGATCTGACTTTATAGTTACTATGATGGCTTGGCACACACACTAAAATCAATCCACGCAACATCAAAGTCCAGTATGCTTCTAATGATCTCGGCTTATGATTTAATTGCCATGTATTTAGCTATTGAGCTTCAAAGTTTATGTTTGTATGTGATTGCAGCATCAAAAAGAGTACACACCTAACAACGAGAAGTATTCACTTGGCCCTTTTCCAAGAGTGGAAGACAATTTTACACTATTATCTAATCTAATTCTAATATAGTTACCTACTTCTTTTGTGATTTGAGGTCCACTTGCTGTCACATGCAAGTGGCAACTTGGCTATTCACTTCAATCCGTAGCTTGATTCCTCATGGTGTCGGACAACTTCAATCATTAGCTTGTTGATGATTCCAGAGAGCAACGGCCGAAGCTTCGTGTAGGGTTGATTCCACAGGCAGTCATGGGAATAATCATCAGGTGGATACCAAAAATCTGAAATACTCACTCAGCATTATCGTCCAAGCCCGGTTTTTGTGTTGTCATTACTGTCTCCCTTGCCGTGGTTCCATCATCTCACGATATCTCATATGTAACGCTGAGAACAACTCTACTTCAACGTACCTGCGAGCTGCTTTTGGCAATGTAGATGAGCGACACACTATCTACTACCAGAATATTTCATTGCTAGCATGATATGGGAGAGTTATATTCCTCCAACAATATCATTCTATACACAGTGCTTCCGCTCTCGGTACTTTGCAAGATGCTTAGCTTGCTCAAGCGACAGCATCTGCCACTAAGCTTTTTTATTTTTCAATGCGATAAGAAATTTTTGTTTAGCATATGTAGAAACAATTTGATGTTACTCCAACAAGATATTCCATATTACATGGCGGATTTTTAACTAAACTACTTTGTCGAATATGATCTTCTGAAGGCTTTTGAATCCATCACTCTTCCTTCACTCTCCAAAAAGCATATCCACTCTTTGCTTCCACTAAAATGTACAAACAAAAATATGTGATGAGAACAACCACATGAACCTAAATTTTACCTAAAACTATAATAAAACTAGCTCATTAAAGAACTTGCTGTGTGTCTGATTCGTACATTTGTTAACTTTTTCTTGCAACAAAACCTCAATACGGTTGTGGAAAGCTAAGATTGCTCCCCATGCAAAATTAAATAGATTTTGCCATTTTAATAGGTTTACACTACCTCTTTGCTAGGAAAAGTTGATAAAAAAAAAGTGTAAATAAAAGTAGAAAACTATGTCGCAGTAGGTGTGATAAAATCGTAATAACGCTAATGGAAAAGTTAGCTGGATACGCAATCGGTATCTAGTTTTTCTAAATTGATGATAAACCAGAAGAATGTGTCTGATAGATTAGTTCCGAACCTTCTAAGTTTATATCTAGGGCTTCTAGAATACTTGGATAGGATTTTGTAAGACTAGGTTGAGTACGAAAGATTATTGGCGGCAAAAAGTGGCGACCAAGTGGTTGTCACATACAAAATTCTTGGCTAATGAGATCTTGAGATTTCTGGTGACGGCTAGGATTTTGGAGACAATCATAACCGTCGCAGTTAGGTTTTGAGTTCTTAGTATATAAACGCTCTTAGAGATTTTGTATAAAACTCTTCTTTCACTTGTTTATGCGACTTGGTTCTATTTCTCATCTCTTTCGTTTTCTATGTGAAACGTCATACCGGGGTTCTTGCCGATTCTGTGAGTGCTGCAAGGCCGGATCCGTAAGTTTGTGAAAGGAAGTCCCGGATCCGGCCAGAGGAAGATTGATGATAAGAGTGTTCTAGTGTGTACTGGTAGTATATCTTCATTGTCGTGTTTACTTATATAACTTCTATGTGGAATAGCCGCTGCTAGGACTGAGTAGTATCCAGTGGAGTGCTCCGGGTAGGGAAACTCCGGATATACGCTAGTCCGATCTTTTGATAAGATTCCACAATACCTGGACAGGGTAATCCAAGAGATGGCACGAGGCTTCCACTTATCTTATATTGTTCAACTTCCACTCTAAATCTAGATTCGGATG